TCTTTGCAACTGCTTGGGGCTGCTTAGACCACACATACACCTTATTTAGTTTTTCCATGATACATTGTTTTTATAGCAAGGACTGTTGTGTGACTTCAGTTCATACCTACTATTCATACCAATGTGGGAGAGCAACTCAGGGGAACCAGTAGGGAATGTGTGAGCACGAGCCAGCACAACAGGATGCTAAATCAATCAAAGAGTTAATGGTAGTCAGTTCTAATTAACCGGATTTTAAAGACCTTCTTTAAAAAAAAATATTCTAGTGTAACAGCTTGAAGTTGGAGACTCAAAGCTCTTGAGATATAGGTACCTCAAGGTAAGCTCTGTTTTTCTTGTGCTAAAAATTCAGAAAGAGAGAATTCAATTTTCCCCACACAGTTTTCATTTCATTTCTCTGCTTTTACTCTTAACCACTAATATATATGTACTTAAATGAAATTGTGTTTCTTTTATCTTATGTAATGCTGCCACTGATTGAGTGTGTGAGCATCAGCAGTTCCCCTCTGGGAAGTTTTATTCCTGTTCCCTCACACTGATGTATTCATAGGTATGAGTTTGTGTCTTTATGTGCATATCATGGTTTTAGTAGCAGTAGGAAGAAGGGTGTGTGTATGTGTGTTGCAACTGTCCACCTCCTGGTAGTTGAGACTCTAGTTGCGTAGAGTAGGAGGATTTTTGGCACACTTTCCTCTAAAGAAAACACAGTCTGATTTGAGGAGTGCCTACCTCTTACAAGGCCTTGATTGTGTGAGAATGCCAAAAAAGAAACAAATGCAGTTTAATTGCGTCCGATGCTTAGTGACTAGTTCACAAATCTTTTATTTGTTTTTAGAAGTGCTGCAGTGGCACTAAAATTTGTGTGTGTTCAGGGAGATGCGGACGTAGCTTACAGTAGGACTTAGAAGCCAGCATAATTACCTGGGCTCCTGTCAAACTAATAAACTAATAGAGGGCTTAAAAAAAATCAGGAAAGGGCAAGGATTTAAGAAACTTAAAGAATGAGACTAGACATTGAGTCCTGTTAAATTTTCTTTATGTATGTATTTGAGAGGCCAGTGGTCCCATGGAATATGAATTATACATTTCAAACTTGAAAATACTTAAACTCTATGTAGGAGGGTTTTAAGGTTTTGAAGCCAAGGTACTACTATTGTGTTTTATTGCAGTCACGTAGGAGGCTCAGGGACATCTCTCTTGCATAAAAGAAAAGGCTCGAGTTTTCTTCCCATATGTAAACATTGAGAAGAAAAGTCTCCTTGGGGTAGAATGTCCCTGCCCACTTACAGATAACTGAGGGCACACATGTCATTTGTTTTATTGTCTATAACCCAGGGAAACCTTAGGAAAATGTAAGAAAATTTAATAGCTGTGTATAGATACTGAAAAGGGTCTTTTAATAATGTGAATAATTTACTTACTGAGTGTTTTGACTAAACTAGGAAGTTTGGAACACGTTTCCTATCTGATAAAGTCAGCCTTTTATACTTGGGGTTTTATTTAAAAATTTTAGAATAATACATTGAGAACTACTTCGTGTTGTAGCCATGGTTCCTGAACTGCAGCCTGCAGGAAAGGCCTTTGAGAAAAGTTTATATTCCAGGAGGGTAAAAGAATGGATAATTATCAGCTATGTGAATGTATGCCTGCGTATAAGTGAATCTAAACATAAACTTCTGATTGTTCTGACCTGCACTTTCCACGTAACTAATAACCAAATTTAGTAAACATGAGTCATTGGTTCTACATAGAATATAAGGAGTCTATTTAGAATGAGATTCTTAAAGCCATTTGTATAATATAACTGAGATTGTGACTGTGTATATTTTTGTCTTTCTTCATTTCCCTTCTTAATAATAGCATCATTTATTCAATCATCCATCATTCAATAACATTTAAGTGCTTAGTATATTCCAGGAAATACGCTTAGTGTTATAAATAAAAATAAGACCAGGATGTAGTCCCTTCCTCAAAAATGTCAATGATTAACAGGAGACTCTGAGGTCTAAATAAATTAATTAAAACACAATGCTAAAAATGATATAAATAAGTGCATGTTTAAGGGAAATTCAGAGACAAGATTTCACTCAACCATGGTGGAAATGGGAACTCTCACAATGGAGATGACATTTGGGTTGGATCTTGAGTTACTGCGGCAAGTTTGCCAAAGGAAGAATGGAGAAAAATGTGTGAGACATATAAAATAGGCAAAGTTCACTATAAACTCACTTCATTATAAAATGCTCCAAACAGAATCACTGAAGTTGGATTTAAACAACTCCTATTGTATGGTTCCATGCTGTAATTTTAGACAGCCATTCTTTATTTGACAGCTCCCTCCTTTGGCAGGGTATATTCTTGAAGCCTACCTATTTCTGATTCTGTGGTCCTACCTGGAGAATTTTGTGTGTGTGTGTGTGTGTGTGTGTGAGAGAGAGTTCCTTGAAGATCCATGGCCATGCCTTATGTGATTTGCATCTCTCAAACCCACCACCATGTTACCATTATAGCAGGTGTTAAGAAATAAGATGTCTAGTAAAGACATAAATGAACAATTGTTATGACTCTCAAAATCCCATATAGGAGATGCCTAGGAACAAAAAATGGATTAGAACTGTGGTTAGGGGAGCTGTCAAAGATCTTTGTGCTTAGCAATCATGCTGATTTTACACAGGCTGTGGCTTTAGAGGACTGGAACTGGTGAAAATCTAACACCCTCTTCCAGCCACATTTTGGCCTTGCCATTGGAGTAAGCAAAAGATTGAGTTAAGAAATAGGTCTGACTTCCTTTTTACTTTTAAAATATGGAATATAGAAACAGGGTCTCTCCAAGCATAAGAGAAATGAGAAATCATGAAAAGGTTTTCATCAATGCCCAATAAATGATTGGAAAGCCTAATGCAAAATGGCAAATTGTGAATACTGCCTGATATCATTAGCTATAAAGCTATCTGAAGCCCTTTGATCAATCCCCTCATTCTATGACTGTGTATGAGACAAATCAAATGTTCTTGTCACCAAGCAGGAAAGAGAGAGGCTGAGCCATCTAGCCAGTTTAGTCAATGTAAAATATACTTGAAGTCTAGATTTTGGCCAAAGTTATAAGTGAAAATATCCAGGATAAAAATCATATAGAAAAGAAGTTTTTCATCGGAATTTCATGTAACATCATAGATCACTAAAGCAAAAGGAATTTTAAAATCTAATTTGCTTTTCACAAGGGATTGGGAAACCTGGCAGGATTTTGGGTTCTTCGGGGGTCTTGAGTTATTTCTCAAATATTTTGGGTTCAATAAAATCCAAAATGCATTTTGCCCTGAGCACTTTTCCCCTTAATTTTGAAACCCATGTGTAATCTAAAGGAAATGTAATCCATATGTTTCTGATTCATTTACACTTAACTCATCAAAATATTTTTCTAGGAGCTATTTGATGTTGAAGAAGCATTTTGAGACTTTTTAATAAGCTTTTTAACTGCACCCCCCACCTTAAAACAGAAGGCCATGTTTTGCCAAGGTGAAATAAGCCCCAATACCAAAATATTTGGGTTCAGTTCCAAACTCTCTGAACCACAGAATATAAGATAGATTCTCACTTTATCCAGTTTTTTCTTCTATCCCATTTTCTGGGGCTGGTTGAGCATGTAAAATTCAGCAGCATTGCTTAAGATGAAAATGGGACTCCTGTGACTTTACCACAGAATGAAGAGGAAGGATTAAAATTGTAAGCTAACAAAGTTGCGAGGTTAATACAAGAAAAAAAAATTAAAGGTTAGTTTTCATGGGCAATTGCTTCAGTTGCAGAAAGACATGCAGGGTTGAGGCAAGCAACTTGTTTCTGTTAGAATCATAGTCAAGATTGCCCAACTATATGATATTTTGTTTGTTTGTTTGTTTTGGAAGCCAAGTGGAAAGTTATGAATGACTTTTTCTTTTTTTATTTTTGAGATGGAGTTTCGCTCTTGTTACCCAGGCTGGAGTGCAATGGCGTGATCTCGGCTCACCGCAACCTCCGCCTCCTGGGTTCAGGCAGTTCTCCTGACTCAGCCTCCTGAGTAGCTGGGATTACAGGCACGCGCCACCATGCCCAGCTAATTTTTTGTATTTTTAGTAGAGACGGGGTTTCACCATGTTGACCAGGATGGTCTCGATCTGTTGACCTCGTGATCCACCCACATTGGCCTCCCAAAGTGCTGGGATTACAGACTTTTTCAAACATTCCCTAATAGAAACTAAATTTCGTAGGGAACTGATCTTTGCCATATATTGGTCCTGTTCTCCAGGTTCTCCATCACCATTCTTAGTTTCACATTCAAAGCTCACCACAATTCTAGCCCAAGATGGTCTGTGTGTGTTAATGTCTACTGATCTCCAGCACAACCATGACTTCGAAACAATCAAACCCTGTGTGATTCCTTCAGCAAATGTTCAGTTTTGCTGCATGTACTCAAGTCATGCTTACTGTCTTCACTTCCACTGAATACATATAAAGAATCTTCCTCTGATCACCACAGGCAGAAGCTGCTTCCTTTGACTGCATTGCTTGTGATCACTTTCTCAGCTGTGGCATTATTGGGCAATTAGACATTTTGAACAATTGTTCTTGTTTATCTGGACATCCTAGCTGTTGGTCCTGTGCCTTGTACGATTCAACATCTTTTGCCCTTTCCATCAGCACTGTTACAGCAATTGAAAATGCTTCCAGATATTGCCAAGTGTCCCTGGGGAGGAGAATGAAACTGCCCCCAGCTGAGAACCACTGCACTAGAACTTTGCTGATACATCTCTTTGGACAGTCACAAGATTGCCTTATACGTACATGCATACATTGGTATATATTTTAAGCTTCTGGGATACAGGGAGAATATCATGCTCAACTTCTTACTCAGAACAGTACATTCATTTGTATAATCTCTGTTTTTTATGTGTAACATTTATTTGTTAAATAAAGTGCTAAAGTTAAAAAATGCTTAATCTTATTCTGTTTTCTTATACTTCTAGGTCTAAATAGTAACCAAGATCTGCTGGAAACATTTGGAATGTACCTCTGCCTCTCCAAAGCTCCTCTCCATATCCCTATTGTGTAGACATTATCTTTTTTTAACTTGTATTTTAGGTCTGGGGTACACATTAAGGTTATATGAGTAAACTCATCTCAAGGGGGCTGTTGTACAGATTATTTCAACACCTAGGTATTAAGCCATACTCAATAGTTATTTTTCCTGCTCCTCCCCGTCCTCCTATCCAGTACCTTCAGGTAGACCCCAGTGTCTGTTGTTCCCTTCTTTGTGTTCATGAGTTCTCACCATTTAGCTCCCACTTGTAAGTGAGAACATATGGTATTTGGCTTTAGGCTTCCGCATTAGTTTGCTAAGGATACACATACACACAAATGTTGATTGCAGCACTTTCACAATAGTAAAGATATGAACTCAACCTAAATGTCCATTAATGACAAAGTGGATAAGAAAATGGGATTTCCACCAAGATGGCTGAATAGGAACAGCTCTGGTGTGCAGTTCCCAGCAAGAGCCACAGAAGGTGAGTGATCTCCACATTTCCAAGTAAGGTACCAGTTTCATCTCATTGGGGCTGGTTAGACAGTGGGTGCAGCCCAAGTAGGACTCGGCGTCAGAGAACTCCCTCTCCTAGCCAAGGACAGCCATTAGGGACTTTTCCCAACACTCTGGCTCAGATACCGCGCTTTTCCCATGGTCTTCACAACCTGCAGACCAGGAAATTCCCTCCAGTACCTACAACACCAGCACCCTGGGTTTCCGGTACAAAACTGAGCAGCCGTTTTAGCCACAGCAGTTTTTTTATTCTTATACCCCAGTGGCACCTGAAATGCCAGTCAGACAGAGATGCTCATTTCCTGAAAAAGGGGGCTGAAACCAGGGAGCCAGGTGATCTGGCTCAGTGGGTCCCACCCCACAAAAACCAGGAAGCTAACTAAGATCCACTAACTTGAAATTCTTGCAGCCGGCACAGCAGTCTGAGCTTGACCTGGGATGTTCAAGCTCGGTGCGGGGAGGGGCGTCCACCATTGCTGAGGCTCTGGTAGGTGGTTTTAACCTCGCCTGTGTAAACAAAGTCACTGGGAAGTTTAAACAGCAACTGGGCAGAGCCCATGGCAGCTCAGCAAGACCTCTGCAGGCAGATGTCACTAGACTCCCTTCTTGCTGGGGAGGGCATCTCTGAGAAAAGGCAGCAGCCTGTCAAGGACTTATAAATAAAGGCCCCACCTTCCTGGGACAGAGCACCTAGGCAAAGGGGTGGTTGTGCGTTCAGCTTTAGCCGACTTAAACATCCCTGCCCAGCAGCTCTGAAAGGAGCAATGGATTTCCCAGCACAATGCTTGAGCTCCAATAAGGGACAGACTGCCTTTTCAAGTGTCTCCCTGACTCTGTGTATCCTGACTGGGAGACACCTCATACAGGAGAGCTCTGGCTGGCCAGCTGGCAGGTACCCTTCTGAGATGACGGTACCAGAGGAAGGAACAGGTGCAATGTTTGCTGTTCTGCTGACCCCACAAGTAATTCCCAGGAAAGTAGGGTCTAGAGTGGCTCACGAGCAAACTCCAGCAGACCTGTAGCAGAGGGACCTGTTATAAGGAAACTAAAAAACAGAAAGAAGTAGTTTCAACACCAACTGAAAGGACGTCCACCTAGAGACCAACTTCAAAGACCAAAGGTAGATTAAGCCACAAGGTTGGGAACAAACCAGCACAAACAGGCTGAAATCTCCAAAAACCAGAATGCCTTTTCTCCTCCAAGGGATCAAATACCTCATCAGCAAGGGAAAAAACTAGATGGAGATTGAGTTTCATGAATTGACAGAAGCAGTCTTCAGAAGGTGGGTAATAACAAACTTCTCTGAGCTAAAGGGGCACATTCCAACCCAACGCAAGGGAGCTAAGAACCTTGAAAAAAAGGTTAGACAAATGCTACTAGAATAACCAGCATAGAGGAAAACATAAACGACTTGATGGAGCTGAAAAACACAGCACGAGAACTTCGCAAAGCATACACAAGTTTCAATAGCTGAATCAATCAAGTGGACGAAAGGATATCAGAGATTGAAGATCAACCCAATGAAGTAAAGCAAGAAAGCAAGATTAGAGAAAAAAGAGTGAAATGAAACAAACAAAGCCTCCAAGAAATATGGGATCATGTGAAAAGACCAAATCTATGTTTGATTGGTGTACCTGAAAGTGATGGGGAGAATGAAACTAAGCTGGAAAACACGCTTCAGGATATTATCCAGGAGAACTTCCCCTACCTAGCAAGGCAGGCTGACATTCAAATTCAGGAAACATAGAGAACACCACAAAGATATTCCTCCAGAAGAGCAACCCTCAAGGGACATAATCCTCAGATTCACCAGGGTTGAAATGAAGAAAAAAATGCTAAGGGCACCAGAGAGAAAGGTCAGACTACCCACAAAGGGAAACACATCAGACTCACAGTGGATCTCTCAGCAGAAACCCTACAAGCCAGAAGAGAGTGGGGTCCAATATTCAACATCCTTAAGGTAAAGAATTTCAACCCAGAATTTCATATCCAGCCAAACTAAGCTTCATAAGCAAAGGAGAAATAAAATCCTCTACAGACAAGCAACTGCTGAGATATTTTGTCACCACCAGACCTACCTTACAAGAGCTCCTGAAATAAGCACTAAACATGAAAAGGAACAACCAGTGCCAACCACTACAAAAACATAAATTGTAAAGAACATTGACACTTTGAAGAAACCGCATCAACTAATGGGCAAAACAACCAGTTGGCATCAAAATGATGGGATCAGATTCACATATAACAATGTTAACCTTAAATGTAAATGGGCTAAATGCCCCAATCCAAAGACACAGACCAGCAAATTGGATAAAGAGTTAGGACCAACTGGTGTGCTGTATTCAGGAGACCCATCTTAAATGCAAAGACACACATAGGCTCAAAGTAAAGGGATGGAGGAAGATTTACCAAGCAAATGGAGAGAGAGAGAAAAAAAGCTGGGGTTGTAATCCTAGTCTCTGATAAAATAGACTTTAAACAAATGAGGATCAATAGAGACAAAGAAGGGCATTACATAATGGTAAAGGGATCAATGCAACAAGAAGAGCTAATGATCCTAACTATATATGCACCCAATCAGAAGCAGCCAGATACATAAAGCAAGTTCTTAATGACCTATGAAGAGACTTAGACTCCCACACAAAAATAGTTGGAGAAATTAACACCATTCTGTCAATATTAGACATATCAAGGAGACAGAAAATTATTAACAAAAATATTCAGGACTTATACTCAGCTGTGGACCAAGTGGAGCTAGCAGACATCTAGAGAACTCTCTGCCCTAAACCCGCAGAATATACGTTTTCTCGCTACCACATTGTATTTATTTTAAAATTGACCACATAATTGGAGGTAAAACACTCCTCAAAAAATGCAAAAGGCCAGAAGTCATAACAAACAATCTCTCAGACCACAATGCAATCAAATTAGAACTCAGAATTAAGCTACTCACTCACAACCACATAACTACATGGAAAATTGAACAACCAGCTCCTGGGAATGACTACTGGATAAATAGTGAAATGAAGGCAGAAATAAAGATGTTCTTCTAACCCAATGAGAGCAAAGACACAATGTCCCAGAATCTCTGGGACACATTTTAAGCAATGTCTAGAGGAAAATTTATAGCACTAAATGGTCCAAGGAGAAATGAGGAAAGATCTAAAATTGATACCCTAATGTCATAATTGAAAGAACTAGAGGAGCAAGAACAAACCCATTCAAAAGCTTGCAGAAGACAAGAAATAACTAAGAGCAGAACTGAAGATGACAGAGACAGAAAATACCCTTAAAAAATCAGTAGACCGGGAGCTGGCTTTTTGAAAAGATCAACAAAAGTGATAAACTGCTAGGTAGACTAATGAAGAAAAAAGAGAAGACTTAAATAGATGCAATAAAAAGTGAATAAGGGTATATCACCACTGATCTCACAGAAATACAGACTACTATCAGAGAATTACTACAAACACCTCTATACACATAAACCAGTAAAATTAGAAGAAGTAGATAAATTCATGGACACTTACATTCTCCCAAGACTAAACCAGGAAGAAGTTGAATCCCTGAATAGACCAATAACAAGGTCTGAAATTGAGGCAGTAATTAATAGCCTATCATCAACCAAAAACAGTCCAGGTCCAGATAGGTTCATAGCCAAATTCTACCAGATGTACAAAGAGGAGCTGGTACCATTCCTTCTGAAACTATTCCAAACAATACAAAAAGAGGGAATCCTCCCTAATTCATTTTATGAGACCAACATCATCCTGATACCAAAACCTGGCAGACACCCAACTGGAAAAGAAAATTTCAGGCCAATATCCATGATGAACATCAATGTGAAAATCTTCAATAAAATACTGGCAAACCAAATTCAGTAGCACATCAAAAAGCTTATCCATCATGATCAAGTCAGCTTCATCCCTGGGATGCAAAGGTGGTTCAACATACACAAATCTATAAATGTAATCCATCACATAAACAGAACCAAAGACAAAAACCACATCATTATCTCAATAGATGCAGAGAAGGTTTTCAACAAAATTCAACAGCCCTTCATGATAAAAACTCTAAATAAACTAGGTACTGATGGAACTTATCCCAAAATAATAAGAGCTATTTATGACAAACCCACAGCCAATATCATACTGAATGGGCAAAAACTGGGAGCATTCCCTTTGAAAACTGGCACAAAACAAGGGTCCCCTCTCTCACCACTCCTATTCAACATACATATTATTGGAAGTTCTAGCCAGGGCAATCAGGCAAGAAAAAGAAATAAAGGGTATCTAATTAGGAAAGGAGAAAGTCAAATTGTCTCTATTTGCAGACAGCATGATTCTATATTTAGAAGACCCCAGCATCTCAGCCCAAATCTCCTTAAGATGACAAGCAACTTCAGTGAAGTGCCAGAATATAAAATCAATGTGCAGAAATCACAAGCATTCCTATAACCAATAACAGACAGAGAGTCAAATCATGAGTGAACTCCCATTCACAATTACTAAAAAGGAATAAAATACCTAGGAATACAACTAACAAGGGATCTGAAGCACCTCTTCAAGGAGAACTACAAACCACTGCTCAAGGAAATTAGAGAGAACACAAACAGATAGAAAAGCATTCCATGCTCATGTTTAGGAAGAATCAATATAGTGAAAATGGCCATACTGCCCAAAGTAATTTATAGATTCAATGCTATCCCCATGAGCTACCATTGACTTTCTTTACAGAATTGGAAAAAACTACCTTAAACTCCATATGGAACCAAAAAAGGGCCTGAATAGCCAAGACAATCCTAAACAAAAAACAAAACAAAACAAAAAAGAACAAAGCTGGAGGCATCATGCTACCTGACTTCAAACCATACTACAAGGCTACAGTAATCAAAACAGTATGCTACTGGTACCAAAACAGAGATATAGACCAATGGAACAGAACAGAGGCCTCAGAAATAATGCCACAGAGCTACAACCATCAGCTCTTTGACAAACCTGACAAAAACAAGCAATGGGGAAAGATACCCTG